CTCCAGGGAGGAAACTCAGAATTTGAGTTTTGAGAACATGGGCTCCAGACTTCAGGCAGTCATTGACTGCAAAGGATTTTCATCCAAGTATTAAAATTATTTTTATATTTACAATTATGTCACTTTGTCCAAATACCTTTGAGCCCCTGAAAATGGAGGTACTTTGTTGAAAATGGCTGTAATTCCTAAATGGTAAATGTCATATTTTTGTGAAACCTCTTAAAATAAAGCTGAAATTCTACACTTCGATCACATCTTGATTGTTTTATTTCAAATCCATTGTGGTGGTGTTTAAAGGCAAAATCACAAAAACTCTGTCACTGTCCAAATACTTCCGGACCTAACTGTACATTATATATATATATATATATATATATATATATATATATATATATATATATATATATATATATATACTGTATGTATGTATACATACACATGTGAACACCTGCTGCAACGATAATCAAACTGGCTGCCAGTGAATCATATGACAATTTTTTTTCATTTCTATTAGTTAGTATTGGGGCCACACATCTTGGTGAAGAATGGACTCAGAAAATTGGTTGTTGCTTTTTGTTACAGCAAACAACAAATTTTGTTATGTTGCCTGGATGCAACACAGTACCATAAAGGGATAAAGTTCAACAAAGCAAGAGATCTGCTTTTTCAAATTCAGCTGCCTGCTGTGTTAATTACAATTTGGTGAAATTTGGTGTAACTAAGATATAAAGGAGTAAACAAATATTCCAGTACTAGTTCATAAACACAACACAACACAAAGGTTTATTTTTTTCTTTAGTAAAATGTATATATGTGGAATTCTCCTATATCTTACAGTAGTGCGCTTACAGAAAATAGTCTAAACTGTACTGTACCACCATCTCCCCATGTCAGCATTTCTTTTTTTTCCTGACACTATGGTCTTTTTTCAATTCAAGTGAAAACTTATGCTGTCAGCAAGACTTTCTAGGAACACTGAGCGACATTTGTCCTCCAATGGGTGTTATGTCTATGTAGCAACATTACAGGAAATGTTCTTTTTCTCTTTTGTTATGTAAGACTGCCATACGTAATTCACCAATAGGCCACAAGGGTCATTTATTTTTAAAGAGTGGGTGTGTTGCCTGGGAAGGTAAAAATTAAAATAGCAGTACATAATAGCAATCTCACCCCTCTTCCCTCTCCCACGCTGATCAGCGAGGTAAACACATTCACACACTTTGTTCACTTCATATCATAAAAGTTTATGTTCACTATTTATAAGCCGCAAAATATCACACTGCCTATATACTGTAAGTCTGTAATAATCTTGAGCAGTAATTATTGAATGTATACAGTTGGTTTTATTCGATATACCACAGTGCTTTTGAATTCTCGAATCTGATCAGTCAGAAGGTGTTGATTAAGTTTCTATAACAGCATGGCTCTAACAGTAGTTTGGCTGCTATACAAATCACAGGATGGTATTAATTTGCTTGTTATAATACAGTATGTTATTGTTCGTATAGCAAGAATTAATTCCCAGTGACTTGTATGGAGAACACTCCACATGAAGGGATTAAAAAAATGTGTGTATTTGTTGGGGACATGTGGAGATGTTTATTTGACATTTACGGAAGAAGTCTTCATTGTCACTGCTGTGACATTGTGCAAAGGTGTAACTTTTTTTCAGATATAGGAAAGTCTTCAGAACAGAGGGTTTATTACTCCTTGGTAATATGACAAGCTGCATCATCTTATTAACTTCAAGAGACAGAAACATAAGAGGTTGGTGAGGGAAAAACTGGGTGAGGGTATACACTGTTTATAGCTACTTTACGCTTTGAGAATGTAAGCTTTCTCAAAGCGCTGTCAGGGAAGCATAGTCGGGGGGTCTGTAATTTTTAGTTTTGTTTTGTTACACTGGTGGAAACCATAACTCAATATTATCAAGGTTATTACATTTATTCTTGAGTTCAGAATGAAAAGCTCTATAGCTTTGTTTTACAGTTAAATTTGTCTCTGACTCTGCATGATCTTTTTTTCTATATGCGATTTTATTTCAGGCATGTAACAGCACAGCGAGTGTCCCTGACTGGTTCAAAAGCTGTGACTAAGAATGAATATCTGACAGAAACCAAAAAATAAGCTTACAGTTCTCACCTATGATGCTTCTCATTTCTTGAAATGAGCCTCCTTTCCTTTCTTTGTTTCCCTTTCTTGCTTCTCTGCTCCTCCTTCAGAGGAAGCTAGGAAAGCATGCGAGGGCAGGAGGAATCAAGGACAATGTATTTACCATTCATTGAAGCGTCACTTTAAAGCGACTTACTTATCAGATGTTGCACCGGTATATTAATTATATTATGGATCTGCTTATATAGAAGAGATATTTGGCCTACACGCTGTATTAATCTTAAATTTAAAATATATTTGCATGTGCACATCACACACTTAAATGTTCATCAGCAAGATTCTACTCATCATCTGATATTTCATAAAGCAAGGCATCTTTTAATTGACTTTTATCCAAGGACTGTTTGGTTTTGTTTGTTATTTGTATATATCTTTTTATTTAATTAAGAATATTAATTTTGTATTTGTCATGCTTACTATTGTATGATTTATTGGAATTGGGTATTGAAAGGTGAATCATAAATACAATTTTAAAAAAAGGCTGGTCCCATTAGGAGTCACCATCGCAGCTCATTGGTCCGCATATTTGATTTGGCACAGTTTTTATGCCAGATGCCCTTCCTGATGCAACGCTCCCCAGTTTTATCCGGGCTTGGGATCGGCACTGAGAGTGCACTGTCATGTGGCTGGGGTTGGTTCCCTGGTCGGGAATCAAACCCGGGCCGCATCGGTGAGAGCGCCGTAGTCTAACCGCTAGTCCTCCAGGGACCCTAGTAACTAACAACATTATGGTATTTAATTTAAAACGCCAAGGGAGGCCAGTCAGCCCAGAGTTACTCCAATGCCACATCATGATACTACATGCACTACATATGAAATAGTAAGTTAGTTGGAAATTATATTGAAAAAGTTAACCTAATTTAATTTTAAAGTAATGTAATTTGCCTAAATTAATGCCATAAGACGTGTGTTTGTAGTGTTCTTTTTTTATTCAGCAAAGGTGGCACAGCTAGCTTATAGAACTGCTGCTCACTGGTTCGAGCCTGAAAACACTGTCTGTTTGAAGATATGCATGTTCTCCCCGTGTTCCTGTGGGCTTCCTCCGGGTTTCCGACCCATAAACATGCTATTAGGTGGATTGGCGACTCTAAATTGCTCAGGGTGTGAATGAGTGTGTGAATGTGTGTATGCATGCTGGGTGCATTGCTTGTTTTCTGTGCTTTACCTGTGTATTAGGTATAAGGCTAGCTATGTCCATAATAATTCTTTGGACACAATAATGATCTCAGAGACTGTCTTTAGATGGAGACAGAGATTTTAAGTGAATATCTTATGCTTTCAGGCAGGAGTTGCATGTGAAATTACCTGAATAATGTTTTCAAATCGAGAATGCACCTATTTGAACATTATTATACTGATTAAAAGAGAGGGTCCCTGGAGGACTAGTGGTTAGGCCACCTTGCTCTTACCGCTGTGGCCTGGGTTTGATTCCTGCCCAGGAACCGACCCCAGCCACTGGGGTTGCAGGCAATAGTGCACTCTCAATGCCGGTCCCAAGCCCAGATAAAATTGGAGAAGGTTGTGTCAGGAAGGGCATCTGGCATAAAAACTGTGCCAAATCAAATACACAGACCAATGATCTGCTGTGGTGACCCCTAAGAGGAACAGCCAAAAGAGGAACAACAACATACTGATTAAAAGATAATTGTGACCTCAAGGTGATATTTATTGTTATTTATGTTTTCAGTCCCTTTTAACTTTGTAATTTTAACTGTTAATTAATGCAAATGGAAAGAACAGTGTGCCTGTGAAGCTGCTTTGCACTTGTTGATTAAATAATTCTATAAATAAATTTCCAACTGAACCCTTTATTGAGTCTATATTGCATTATTTGTGGCAGTCAACTTCCACAAAATGTTTAAATTCTCACACATATAATTATAATTTTGTGCTGTAATTGTGGTTAATTAATTTAATCAATTTATTAATTTAATTAAATGAAATACTAATCATTTTGTTTGCAAATTAATGAAATGTCAAATATAGGCTACTTACAATTCTCCGTTATGAACCTTTGTGGAAAGAGTCGGCTTGTATTGGTATAGCCAAGCAGAATAACTGACTTACTGAAAAAAGCTGGAATTCCCTACTAGTACATGGCCCGGTTATGGCCTGTTTCTTTTGGCCCAGACTCAGGATTCGAACCAGAGCTGGTTAAACTAAATAAATATTGACATGCAGTTTGTGGCCTGGATATGTTTTTGGACCAGTCTTTGGGCCAAGCTCAGGCCTACATTAAAAAAAGGGCTGTGCTGGTAGAATTCGCACTACACCATTTGTCCCTAGTGATTTTTTTTATCTGATTGATAGGTATTGATAGGTAGTAATTGTGTTAAAAGTGAATAAACAAGGTTTATAAGGTTTATCAGTTTTACCTGCAATCAGAATAATTGTAAATTGGATTGGAAAGAATCTGATTGCTGATTGCTAGTACTAATAGGTCAACCCAGTCTCACAGAAAAAACATTCGCATGCAACTTATCTGCAGTATCTTCTATATGTTGAATATCTGTTCTGGCACAAGTATACGTCACATAGAAATCGATCAAACTTTCATTTGAATGCTCTGTATTAGAGGTTCTGCACCAATGTATTTCAACCAAGCCCCCATCCACCATTACGCTATTTAACTTTTTCACACTGAGCATAGCCCACTAAAGTGCTTTTCACAACATATAATTAGAGTGACAGCGCTCATCAAATAAGCTTCTCTTCTCTGCAAACACAATCAGGCTTGCAAGTCATATGGTAACACAGTAACACAGAAAGTCTCGGTATTCTCAGTAGCCTAAAGAATTTACAGGGTAAAACTATTGGCATTTTGAAGATACCCACATTACCATACCACATGACTTACAAGCTCAATTGTGTTTGCAGAGAAGAAGAGAAGCTTATGTCATGAGCCTTGTAAGTCTAATCATATGAAAGTTTGATACGTTACTGTGCATGGTATGCTTGTGCCAGAATGCTGATGAGAAGGTGCTGCAGATAAGCTGCATAAAAACTTTTTTTTTTTTCTTTGAGACTGGGTTGAACAGGTAAGCTAGCAGCATGATGATTGTTCCCACTCTTCTGAACCTTTGCACTGATGTTAGCTAATATAGAGGAAAAATCTATTATTTATTTTCACACTAACCTGGCAGCCAGCTAAACCTCGTCATACCAAAATGACTCTCTGAGCCACAATCACGCTGAGGCACATGTTGGCTTCTTTTAAGCTTGACTCATGTCCAAATATCCTGTCTGCATCCTTATCTTTATGTTTTATGAAATGCTAAACAAATAAAACCAACATTTTTCACTTCTACCAAGCACGTCAAGTCCTTTATGTTTCCACACTTTATCACAGTCTTCTCTTTTTAAAGTAAGTACATTACATGTGATCTGAGTTCAGCTTCCTTCCCTTTAATGGTGTTTTCAAGCACAAAACAGACTTTAAATTGTGACTGTAGGAATATTATCTCCAAAAGGCCAGCCAATTGCCTCAGCAGTCCAGCTCTAACTGACAATGCACCTCCCCTCTGTCTTCACTTTCCAGACTAGCAAACAGAGCCACTGTCTTTGATATAGCATTCAAGCCACAGAATCTTGTTCATTAAAACACTCCGGCAGAGTCATCTGAAATATGTGGTTGTAATGGAATCAATTTCCAGTGCAGGGGCAAGCATTGACCTCATCCACTTCCGAAGGCAGTTCGGCCTGGGCCCGCAGAGAGAGCTACAGAAGGCGAGATGGTCATGATTGATTAGGAATGGCGTGTAATAAAATTCCCCGGGGCAAAGGAGCAGACCAGCGCAAGACCAATAATTACAATCCAGATAATGTTGGTAATTATAGCCATGTACAGAGTGGGACAGTGGACAGATGAAGCCATTCCTGTATTTGCATGCCTGTTGTGACTAGCCAACACTAAGTATGCTCTCAATGCTCAACACTATCATTGGGCCTCATTTATCAAGCCTGGATATGAACAAATTTATCTGTATAACATTTGTAGGAGCATTTACACAAGAAATGTGGTATTCAAGAAAAATGTTCAGAAAAATGTTTGTATCTTGATGTGCTTGGTGACCGTGATCACTTGGATTTGTTTCATGTCAAACCATTTTCTTTTCCCCTCATATAATTCACACCTAATTCACTTTTCTTGTCATTTGTCTCCAGATTTTAGCTTTTTCAGGTGCTGTTACACTACTAAATAATATAATTTAGACATCAATGAGTCAAATAACTTCCACTTCTGCCTCTGAGATATTAATTTTCTCTCAGTGTTTAATCATAAATTTGCTCAGCTGTCTGTAAGCTTTACTTTTTATGGAGTTTGTGGGTGTCACTAACTGCAAATGAGCTGTAGCATGAAGTGAGAATCTGAGTTACCGAAACTTTTGCATATCTGGAGATTTTTAGTTCAGTGTGGCCTACAAAAAACATCCACACACAACTTCACTACAAAAGTTGAAAAATAAGGCCCCTTGTCTTTATCCTAAACATCATTTCATATTCATAAAGATCATTTATCTTTATCATCATCCCCAGCATCAGTGAATCTGCAATTTTTCAGCCTTTCACAACATCCTCACAACTTGCTAGACTCTAAATCAATGCACCACCCCATCAAAGCAGAACTGAAAGATCAAAAATGGAGCAGGTGGATGTAAATTTGGTGGCTGCAACCCAGAAAGATATACATCAAAAACTCCATTGTGTGAATTCTTTAGTACATTTGCAGGAATATAACAGCATAAAAAATGGGTCTTAATGTAGTGGTAGACCATTCATTTGTAATCTACAGGTCTGTCTTTTGAGCAGTGTGTAAAAACCTCTTTAATCTTATTCAGAGCAGAACATCTGGCTTGGCCCAATGCTAATCCCACATCCACAGAAAAACTCTATGTAATCAGTTGCACACACAAAGGCCAGCTTGCCCAAGAGCCAGGACATTCATAAATCCTCTGACTAACCCTGACCCGCACACACCAACATAAAGATCTTTGTGAAATGACTCCACCAGTACCTAGTACAAAACGAGAGCATGTGTTACCTCATACATTCTGCAGTAATAGTGAGAAAGACTGGTATACAGAGAGAGAAAAGACAAGGCTGAGAAAGTGCTAGACAGAAAGAACCAGACAAAGGGAGATCGAGCGATAGAGGTCTCAAAAAACAGCAAGGTCACACAGGCATAGAAGAAACAAAAAGCCCCTCTATGCCATGACGGTCACTGCTCTCCACTCAGACACAATAGAGCACATAGAGTTTTGAGTATGCACAAAGCCAGAATGTGTCAATACATATACAACAATCAGCATCTTCAGCAGGTCATATTTGTATCATATATGAACAAAATAAATGTGGCAAAGTAAATGAGTATTTTATGGGTATAATGTATGAACTGTCAAAACAGGCATGACTCTAAAGTTTAATCTCATGCTGCAACGCGAAGCACCTAAATAAAACATAATAAAAACAAAACATCTGTTCTCATAAGCATAATCCATTATAACGAAAGAGATATTGGCCCTGTATAAAGTGAGTGATTTAAAGCGACAGGAAGGACATGAAGACGGAATTGTATTCGACATGGCTGGCGTGGCACCTGCTGGCGTTTAAATGACTGATATTTCTTTTCCAGTCAGGCGTGCTGAATGATGACTGTGAAACGGGTCGTTTGTCTTGAAAAAACATTCCCCCCCTCCACAGCATGCGCTCTCATTTCAGAATTACCTTTCTTCCCCGCAGCTACACAATCACACCATTTCTGCCATACTGCATCGCCATACCACTGCCGCTGAGCTTCCTTGCTCTCCAAACAGATTACGGCACGTCAGGAATCATGAGTCTCTGCCAAAGGAGCTGGCACTGAGTGGCCACCCACACAAGCAGTGTGCGTTCTCATTGCCTAGTCGCTATTATGAAAATCACACTTTGCCGTAGGTGCGTGAAGGTAGATGGATAAACACCACTGCTGAGCTCTTTTTGGAGGAGATGAGCTGTTGCACTTAGACACAGCAAGACATTGATGAACAAGAATGTTGCTGGGTGACACAGACCTCTCAAAGCCTGTAGTACACACCGCAAGCTCAAAGAGACAACTAGAAACACTAAATATGATGTTATATTCAGTAGTATGTCTATTTATATGTGTTTTGTGTGTGTGTGTGTGTGTGTGAGAGTGTGTGTTTATGTGTAACCAAGTCAGTTTGCTGAAATGATCTGCATAGTGCATGCACAGTGCATAGGATTCCTGGAAAATGAGTTTTTTTTAAATGCATCTAGATAATTCACTTTAAAACAAGAGCCTTTAAAAGGCCAAAAAAATCAGGTGACAGAAAAGAAGTGCTGACAAAGCGGATTGCAACTGGAACTCAACTGCAATACAAAGTAGCATAAAAGCACAAGACAATAAAAAAATTTAATTAAATACTGTAAATAATATACAAATA